CATCTTTCATAATTTCACAAATTGTATCTTTCATAACTTCACAAATTGTATCTTTCATAACTTCACATAACTAAGTGACCCATAAAGGGACCAAATTGGCTTTAAGCTCAATTCTTGTATGTATGGACTCAAGAGGTGGCTCGTACAGATTCTAGAGGTGGCTCGCATTGCAGTACTTAGTTTCGTACAACACTTTGTTGCATACTAGGAATCAATAGTTCTTGAAGACTGAACAATTCATATTATGTCATAGCAAAAACGAAGTGAATAAGTAGAACAGCATAATGCCAGGTTCATACAAATACCGTTCACAATGGTGCACATAAATTTCCCTTTATGATTCATTACATGTAGCCATAGTCATCTTACGTATAACAAAGCATTAATAATAATTATTTACAGAAACACATGTGTCGTTACAGTACTATTCATGGGGATAGAACAATTCACACCATAACGTGAGTCATATAACAATGTTATTGATATTCAATTCTTTGACGTATAAGGCAACCCATGGTTCTGTTCGATTTTCATTTCGTTAATCCATTTTAGGCAGATGTCTCTGTCATAAAACATGTATTGAACTAAATAAGGCTGTAGGAGTCCAGGATAGGACGTTCAAAATATCATGTTTCCATTAAGCGGGGTTTATATTCATAATCCCTTCTTGCCAACCAGTTGCATAATATTAATAATTCTTGTGCGGAGTTATAGGTAATTTACAGGTTATTACACATTAAGGATAACCATTAACCATAACCAGAATGCAGAGTAGTTTCAGAGTCATATCGAAGTGCACATAATCTTTCAATGTTCTCACCGATCCCTAAACAACATAAATGCTTACAAAGAACAGTGCGTTAACAATAAGAATTATTAACGATAAGTAAATGTACGATTGCAGTACTACTACTCACAGTGATCGGTTCCCGGTGGTAAGGGTACAATGTCCTCGTCTCGATTTACAATTACAGTGCACAACACAAAATATGAGGTTATACTCGATCTTTTACTTATTCTCTTCGATCGTTCAATCAATTAGTCATGGTGGTACCAAGCTCATTATTCTTTAATAAGTTGTAATCCACGTCTTAGAAAATGGGAGAAATCGATGGGAAATGGTTTAGGTGAAGAAATGGTACAAAACTAATTGACATAACGTGAACAGTCATCCCTAATTTAGGCATAACTATTTCTGTATTTAGAATTTTGGAGTGAGACCAGCACCATTGGAAACTAGACTTCCGGGGATTGATTTTTGGCTCAAGAATCACTCAAAACGGAGTCCGAATACAAAAGATATGCTTGTTCAAAGTTGGTTGGACAGAGCTGTCTCCGCACATGCGGGGGAACAGTGCCGCACGTGCGGCCTGGATAGTTTGCAGTCCGAAAATGGCTGAAAATTTGGGACTTCTCATTTTCAAAATCAAACCTTAATTACATGTAAATCAAAGCCCAAAACCCTTTAATACATTACCAATTTCACATTATTATTCTTCATCAAACACCATAATCTCAAAATAAACAAATTTAATGATTTTAATTCTTCAATCAAAGAATTCTTAGAATATCAAGGTTCATGGGTTCAAAGCTTCCTTTATTATCATGATTTCATGAAATTAATGTCTTAAACACAAGGATTCAAGATAATTGATCTTACCTTAGTTCACTCTTTGATTTCCTCATGGTTCTCTTTAATTTCTCGAAGCTTCCATGGTTGCTCTCCTTCTTCTCTCCAATTTCTTCAAGCCACCCTCAAACTCTCAACAATGGTGAACCCTCTCTCTCACTCTCTCTTGGCTCTCTTTCTCACGGGTCTTCCCCTCTCTTTTTAGATATTTTGAGCTCCCAAAAGATAAGTCCTCCTCTTATAACTCATATGCACCCATATGATTAACTATATAAACTTTATCACAAATACGGAGGGCCAAACACGCCTTTACGAATCGCACAAAATTAAATTTCAATTAAATTTTACAGATGATTCTAAAAATTATGATGATCATAAATATGTCCCCTGTTCTGAATTCTGAAGTCTCTAAGGCCTTTAATTTGCAGTACCAAGTTAACCACCCAAACGTACATTAACGAGCCAGACAAATTAGATTTCCAATTAAGTTTCCCAAATAGTTCTAAAAATTTCCATTAACACATCTAAGTCCTCAATTGTGATTTCTGAACCCATAAAGATCCGTAATTTCAATTTTAAAGCCGTGGCTCAACAGATAATGCTTTAATTCCAAAGGATATTATTAAATTAAAACACCTCAGCTCATAGTTAAATACAAATGATTTCTTCTCCACGGTTTGGGGTCATTACACTTTGATTGGGCGAATGGGGGTGCTCATTTCAGAACCTTCCCCTCTCGTACCCAAGTTCCCGAGCCGAGGCAACTTTGGTGATGACGGACACGTGGCCTTAGCCACGAGTTAGGGCTTCCTAAATTTTCCAAAATAAAATATTTAGGTGGTGACTCTGAAATCTGGCAAAGCTGTCCATGTTTGGCGCTTTTTTTGATTAAAATCGATTTTCCAAAACGATTTGCCGGATTTGGACTCTTTGGTGATTTATCAGTCTTACATTGCACTTTGTAAGATTAGATTCAGAACCGTGACAGGAGTCCGAACTGTAGTAGCAGGACCCAATTCACAGCCTCGCGCGGAGAGAGTTCGGGCGGTCTACACAGAGATACACACATATATGTGCATATGTATGTATGTGTGCTTACATAATTAGGAAGAAGCTAGGGCGTGATCATTGCAAATTGCGTAGAACACCATTGGGAGATTGATTTCAGGTCACTATGTGATTGATTTCAAGTCGCTGTGTGATTTGTAGGCCCATATATAGTTCTTAGACATGCTTGCCCCAAAGCTTTTTCAGCTATTTGGTGGGTATTTCGATTGTTGTGAAATAGAGGATTGGATTCTTTGATTCAGATTTTAAATATGAGTTCAATTTGGTACAATAAGCTTCAGAATCAAGGGCTTTGGAATTGAGTTAGTGTCGTTTGGTTTTATCAATTGATACTCCTAATACTAATACAATTTGTTATTGCTTTGTATCTTGATATAGTGACTTAATTAATGCTTCATATCACTACTACTAATTAAGAGTTTAATTGTGTACAACCTTTTCCACTCCATTGAGTGTTATTCTCTGCTTCTTTTCTTTTGTGTAGAACACCATTGGTTACCAAGATGAGTTCAATTTGTTGTCAAATTGGAGTTGGTTTTTTGATTTATTGTAACAAAAACGCACCATTGAGTGTTTATGTTGGTTGTTGATTTAGATTTTGTTTTTTGTTTTTTTGTTTTTCCCTATTAGTTAGTGTCGTTTGGTTTTGATCCAAACATTATTTATACTGTGACTTTAGGCACGGGCATATGCTAGTATTATATATTACATATTAATTAATTATTTTTTCTCCCACAACTATCTATTTAATGAAAATTGGAATATTACACCCTTAAATTAGCATATCTTGCTTTAACTTCTCTAGATTTCGTATATAGTTGAGTAAAGAGAAAATCAAACAGAGTACGAACTGCAGTAACAGGCCATAAGTACTAAATTATAGTCTTGGGGCATTTATTGGAATTGTCACATGTGGCTACCAATTCTATTGGCATCATTCATTTCTTATATGCATAGCTCCTTAAGTACATTATTAAGTTCCTCTACAAAATTTAATCACATTTTGTTTATCGAGTGCAATGTGAGCCAGAATAGTTATTGTTTCCCAATGTATTATTTTTTCAAAATCCCAATTTAGTTGATAGATGTGTCAACTTTGGTATTCGGGGCATATATATATTTTTCCAAATACGTGTAGTTCAATCATAAGATTTTGCATTTGGATTTTTGAGTACTTAAATTGACTGCTTTAGAAACTCAATGTGGCATATTGTGGGTTTTCTTATCTGCCTTTTACTCTCAGCTCACTGCTTTATTGGTTAAATTTTCTCTGAATTATGTTATTTGTCTTCTTGTTGATGATTATTTTGTTGTGGTTTATGTTTTGGTTTTGAATATTTCTTCTATTTATGCTAAATTGCTTTGACTATTTCCTCACGTGATTTATGTGTGGTTGTAATTTATATAACTCAGTATAATCATTGGACTTGAACTTTTTTTTAATTAATATATATATATATTTTTCTATATAAAATTTGTCCTATTCACCTAACTTTAATTAACTTGGCATAGTCAGACATGGGCAAGAGTTGGATTGCACTAGGTAGCACAGTTGATGGAAGGATAAGTTGGGCATATAATGATGGGGTAATATCATTTCTTCATTTTGCAATGGCGGTTATCGATCGAGATGGTAAAATTTTGTGCCCTTGTCGAAAGTGTGAATGTTGTTCGTCAAAATTTTCAAATTGTTCAAATTCATTTGCTGCAACATGGGATTATTCCAACTTACATTATCTAGCACGTGCATGGGGAACCCCGTGAATCAAATGAGACTTATCATCATGATATACTCGTTGAGGGCAATGAGGTTTTGGGAGGTATTGACGCCTTAGTGGAAGATCAAATAAGAGGGGAATCAACAAATACAACCCAGGAGGAGGAGGTTCGCACTTTTGGCAAATTATTGAATGATGCCAAACGTGAGGTGTACCCAGGTTACACAATTTACACTTTGTTAAAATTTGTCATCGAGATACTTAATATGAAGGTAACCAACCATTGGAGTAATAAGTCAGTTGACATGATGCTAGAGTTTTTAACAAAACTTTTACCGAAGGATAATTTGGTTCCAAAGTCAACTTATGAAGCTAAAAAAATACTACATGAATTGGGTTTGTCATACGAGCTCATTGATGCTTGTGTAAACGATTGTGTGCTCTTTTGGAAGGCGAATGCAACACTAGATAAATGTCCATATTGTAAACCTTCTAGATGCAAGACAAATCATGGTAGAGGTAAGAAGATCTCTTGTAAGGTTCTTTGATACTTCCCGTTAACATCGAGATTGAAAAGGTTGCACATGTCAAGGAAAAGAGCCGAGGATATGAAATGGTTCAAGGAAAAACGTCAAGATGTCAGTGTATTGAGGCATCCTGCAGATAGTGATGAGTGGAAGGAATTCGATACACAACATCCTGAATTCGCCTTAGAGCCTCGGAATGTGAGGCTAGGGTTAGCTACTGATGGTTTCAACCTTTTGAAAAATATGAATAACTCATATAGTTTGTGGCCTGTCGTACTCATTCCGTACAACTTGCCACCGTGGTTGGCTATGAAGGACCCATTTTTCATGCTGTCATTACTTATTCTTGGTGAATCACAACCAGGAATTGATATTGATGTCTACATGAGACCTTTAGTGAAAGAATTGAATGAATTATGGAAAAATGGTACATTAACCTATGATGCCTTGACTAGTGAGACTTTTTGCATGGTGCAGTTTTGTTGTGGACGATACATGATTGGCCCGCATTTGGTGACATTTTTGGATGAAGAATAAAGGGTCATTACTCTTTTTACACTTGCAATAATGAACCATATTTGGAATCTTTAAGAAGTAAGACTGCGTACAGTAACCATTGATGCTACTTGCCTGATGACCACCTAGAAAGGCGAAAGAGTAGAGCATATAATGGCAAGCATGAAAAACGGAAGAGATCTTTGGTGATACCGATAGAAAAGATTGAAGAACAATTGGGCAGCTTGACGGGTGTCACTTATGAAAAACATCCAAGCAACAGGAAAAGACCTCGCCAGAACCCAAATTGGACAAAGGTAAGCATCTTGTATGAGCTACCATATTGGAAGAAAAGGAGGCTTCGACATAACATTGATGTCATGCATGTGGATAAGAACTTTAGTGAAAATGCTTTTGGAACGATGTTAGGAATTGATGGGAAGAACAAGGATACAGATAAGGCACGGATGGATTTAGAAGATATGAATATAAGGAAAGAATTATGGTTGACAACAAATTCTGATGGATCATATGTGAAGCCTCGAGCCAGCTTCTCACTGACCCCTAAAGAGAGAGAGGGTTTCTTTGAATTCTTGAAATCAATCAAGTATCTAGATGGGTATGCGGCAAACATTTCGAGATCAGTGAATGCAAAAAATGGAAGATTAACAGGATTGAAAAGCCACGACTGCCATGTACTTATACAACGAATTCTTCCTATTGGGATGCGTGGTTACGTAGATAAAGAGATCAGTACAACACTTTTTGAGTCAGGTAGCTTCTTCCAAGATCTATGCCTAAGGACACTGAAACAAGTGAAATGGAGAAATTAAAGGAACGTATAGTACTCATACTATGTAAGTTTGAAAAGATCTTTCCTCCAGCCTTCTTTAATGTGATGGTTCATTTGGCCATTCACTTGCCACGTGAGACTATTCTCGGAAAACATGTGCAATATCGGTGGATGTGCCCCATTGAAAGGTAATTTCTAAAATTGTACTTTCAAATGAAAGGTATAGATTATGTTGTGTGCCTAACCATACTCCTAATTGATTATCTCTTCAAGGTTTCTCGAAGCTTTGAAAAAGCTCGTCACCAATCAAGCTTGACCAGAAGGTTCTATTGCGGAGGCTTACATTGTCAAGGAGTGCATTACTTTTTGCTCAATGTATCTTGAAGGTATTGAAGCCGTGCATAATTGAGATGCACGAAATGAATATTATGGAGTCCGTCGTGAAGGTTTGATAATATTCACAGGAACTTCGTGATATTGCTCATTGGTTCTTATTATACAATAGCCTTGAGATAGAGAAGTATCTTCAGTATGTGTTTCTTATAATTATATATATTTTAACATTTTTCATGTTATTAGTCATTAATAATAGTAGTATTTCACTCATTAACCAAAACTATTTGAGTAGGGAACATAAGAATTTGTTACAAATTCCCACTGGACAAGATATAACTCAGATACAACAAAAGGAATTTCCGAAGTGGTTCAAAGAATATGTAAGTCATTTTTAATATTCACAATTGCCCAAAGACTATTAGGCTTGTATAAAATACAAACATTACTAACATAATTCAAGTGTTGCACATTGCATGTGGATGTAGATAAATAGATTGAGAGTTGATGAGGCACCAGAAGCAACCGAAGAATTGTGGTCATTAGCGAATGGTCCTAATTTTCTAGTGAAAGAGTACTCGGGTTGTATAATCAATTGTGTAAGATTCCATACGAAGGAATTAGACAATCGTCGTAAAAGTCAAAACAGTGGTGTGCTTATCGAAGGGGACTACAAGGGGGAGATGCACGAATTCTATGGTCACTTGTGCAATATTTGGAAATTTGAGTACATGTGTCAAAATAAAGTTGTTTTGTTTCAATGTAAATGGTACAACACCGGTAACACTGGTAGAAGTAGAACAGTATGAGCTGACACATATTGCACAAGCATTGATGTCACGAGCCGATGGTATCAATCTGACACTTTTATCTTGCCTAGTCAAGCTAAACTAGTGTTCTACCTGAATGACACCAAATGAGGGCAACCTTGGCAAGTCGTGCAACAGATCCAACATAGAGGTGTGTTTGATGTGCCAGAGGTTAGTGATGGAGAACCACCAGATCAACCAGAATTTAATGATGCATTCCAACAAGAAAACATTAACTTAGTGGTCCTAATCAACATTGAAGATATTATTCGATTTCATAAGGATGATATTGAAGCTGAGGTTATTCCAAATAAAACAAAGAGAGATGATAGAGATGACGAAGAAGATGAAGAACTTGGTGTACTTGATGATGATATGGATCCTGATATGAAACCTGATATGGATTATGATATGTAGTTTTTGTTTTTTTTAGATTTCTCTACGGACATATGTTTTTGATGCATTACATGGTTATGCTATATTTTGTTGTGTCTCTTTAAGTAAAATTATGCTTCATATTTTATGTTTTATATAAATTTCTGCTTTTTAGTTACCAAAATGGCCAAAGAGAAGAAACAATGGATTAAACCAGGTTTTCTAGCGAAATAGAAGCGAACAGAGTACGAAATGGAAAGATATAAGACAATCAAGAAGAATAATAAGAAAATGAATGCTCTACAATTGAAGCGTATAACAGCTTCTTTGACGGGTTCTACTCAGCCGAATCGTGTTAATCAGAAGGGAAAGAACATTAGGGTAGATGATGATGACTACATACTGTCAGATCATGAGGATGACACTGATGCTGAGTCCTTTGAAAGTGTTGACGATGAGGTACTATATGTATGGCCATTCATTTTTTTATTATGTCACTGATAGCTATATATTTGTTAATGATGCTTTGTTAATACTATCTTTATATTTCCGTATACTTTATTAGATGAATAAGTCATAAAATAAAACTAGAAAATATACATCCTACATATAACAATATGCATACCAAAACAAAGTTAAAGGAAAAAAAAACCTCCTGCACAACTCGTAGGAGTAAGTTAGCTGGAACACAAATGTATAACGAAATAAGACATAATTTGACCATGTTGGAAACACCAATACTAGGATTAGCACATGTGTGGAACCTGGCCCTCATAATATTAGTAAAACACATGCCAAACTGATTGATCACCAACTTCACCACAGCATGAACTACCTGCCAGAGGGATTCAGCAAGTCTAGGATTGTTGTTGGAACTGGCGCAAGATGCAGCCTGGTCCACTTGACAACCTCCATAACATCAACTTCAGTGTTCAAACTAGGATTATCCAATACGGAATTCCATGAAGAATGGCCCCTAGCTGTAGCCAGATTCTCCAGGTTGCCTCCAGGTTGCCTCTCCCTCAAACTATTTATATGCTCACAGATACTTAACCCACTTTCCATAAGAAGAGGCCAGATTGACAACTTGCAAAGCACACAATTAGGAAAAACCAATTAAAAGATTAGAACTACTGGTAGCTCACAACCACTCAACCTTCTTTAAGGAATCTCACCACACTCAACCCACAATTCTCCAAACAACATATTTCTCAATACTTGCACATTGCAGCAGCAACCAGGAGCACCTGCAAGAGATATTAGTAGACACAGATTTCATAAAGTGGGAACCTCTTTTAGGATGGAGGTTGGAAATCTTCAAGTAGACAAGAACCATGCATTATCTGAATTCCTTTTCAGGTTTTTGAGTGACAACACTCTAAACCTGACCATGTTAAAAATATTCAAAGCAACCACTTGTCAGGGCCAGTCTTGGGAAGAAAAGGAGTGGACTGGATCAGATTACAAATATCAACAGTGGCCTTGATGAGTTTCCATATACATATCTTTACTTATCCATTTTTATGTATTTATAGTTTATGCTTTTGTATTATGTTTTTTAGGGCTTACCAATGCCATCAAAACGATTAGTACAGTGATCTCTTCAACCTTCGCACGAGGCAATTGTTGTTCCAAATGGGGATTTACATGACAATATGGATACCCAACACTCATAGCCACTTGATGTCGATATGGAGGCACCGAGGGAGGCAGCCACCCAATGTAGTGTCGGTAAGATACTGAATTTTATTAAGCTAAAGAAATTCTCTGTTTTAATATAATTCTATGGTGCAAAAAATTTCAAGCAATTTGCTTCATAGGGTTTCAAATTTTTTTTTTCTGTAAAAAGTGTTGGGGGTATACCCTAGCTTAACTCTTGTAAGTTTTGTTTTGTTCATACATACATACATATTACCTTCTGTCAAAATGTCTACTTATTCACTTGTGTTATAGTTCATGATTAACAATTATTTAATTTTTTAAACTGCCAAGACTGTTCAATTTTAAACGAAAATATCATTTCTAGGTTCTTATATAGTTGCTTTTAAAGATGTTTTGACATTATTTTGGATGGCTTCTCACATTTGTTTTGACAGCCTTTTAAATTTGAATTGTAAACATTTTTTCAAGATTGGCTGATTTGAAAATTTCAGAGACTTCATGGTTGATGCTTTTCCTTTCTCACGTTGTTTTCTTTTTCTCACAGTTATATTTGTTCTTCCGTTTTCTTGTTTCTTGTATCTTTCCTACCCCTCAAGCTTCTTTGTTCTTCTCTGTTACTACCACTTTCTTCCATACTCTTTGTTTCTCTTTAGCATAAAGGCCAAAAATTTATGCGAGCAGCAATTATTATTTTACTTTAGTACATTGCCCCTTGCTACAAAGATAAAATATATTATGTAGTATTTGAACACAACAGAAGTTGATCTTAGATATAGTAATAAAAACTTTGGGGCAATAACGTAAAAATGATGATTTGTTCTTGCATTTATTGTGTTTTCTTGAAGTAATGGTTTTTTTTTTTAAGGAGACTACCAATTTGGGACCATGGAAATAATGGTTTTTGCATAAAAAAGTAGTGGATTTAAAACTCCGAATAGATTAATGGGATAAAACTAATTCAGAAGGAACATGTTTGGAATGATCCACTAATCCACTCTGATTCTATGCTGAGATATTCATATCAGACATTATGTAAATGTTTTGTTGCAATACTGAAATACTTGTTTTCTTTTTTTCTCATTTCCTAAGTCATTTCTTCTTGATCGTTCGCATTCCTAATTTACAGCCACAAAAAGTAGGATTAATATTAGTGTGGAAAATTGTTAAATCGTGTAGCCAAGCTTGCCATATTGGTTTAACAGCATAAAGGCCAGGGTATACCCCAGCATAAAGGTCCTCACTGGGGTAATCACAGCCAACCTTGAGCCCAAAAAATTATGCAATTTGTGGGTAAAGAACACTTCATCACCACTGATGGAAGCACCCAAGGTACTGAAATTGTGGTGAGAGTAGCTGAACTACTTACCAAAACAGAGCAAGAGACTAGTGCTGTATAGGAGAAACATAGAAGGAGACTAGTGAATAGAAAGCAATAGTAGTACGGAAAAGAATCAGCAGTTGCAGCAACAGCAGAACAAAGCAGCAGCTGTATAGGAGAGACTAAACAGAAACAAGGAGTAGGGAAGAAATTGGCAGTAACAGAGAAGAACGAAAAAGCTACAGATGTAGGAAAGAGTAAAGAAACAAGAAAATGGAATAGCAAATATAACTGTGAAAAAGAGAAAACAACTTGAGAAATGAAAGCATCAACTTGAGAGTAGGGAAGAAAGCTACAGCTGTACCTGTGTGGCTACTGCTAGTGCTGTTTATGTAGGGCTTTTCTTGGGTTTATTTCTAGTTTTGCTTGCTTTTTCTCTCTTGAGGGTTGTGCAAGTGTATTTTGTATTGTTTTTGGCTAGTCTATTGAATGTTCATAGCCCTTTTTTCCTCATGTGGCAAATGAACATTCTTTTGTGTGGTTTATTTTAGGATGATTCTCTTTATAGTTTATTTAGTTTAGTTTATCTGTTTGGTTTTGTTTCTCTTTTATAGCTCTAATTTTTTTTGTTTGGTGTTGTAAGGCCTAGGGAATGCCCCTCATATATCTCTATATGTTATCATTTGATTTTATGGCTTACTAAAAAAAAAGTTACTTATATTACTTTTATGATTTCGCCTTAATTAATTGTTAACCAATCAATGTTATGTCTTTAAAATAGTGCCTAGTAGACATCCTTGTGGTTTGACATGTGGGTTGAAGGTTCAAGCAATGGCTTAGAAAGATGGAAAGCTTAAAGTTCCCATACCACAGGAGTATCATGCGCTAGTGGGGCATCATGCCTCTCAATTAGTCTCCAAAATTGGTGTTGAGGTCTGAACACACTTGCCAGACTTTAGCATTCGCAGGTAGAAACATGCCAACGAAGAAGTTATGGCACCTATGTTTCAGCGTCTAACGGTAAAAGTTTTACATAATTGATTGAATTAATGTAGTATAATTAATTATGACTTACAAGATTTGTGGTTGTTGCTAGGATCAATTTGACATGGAAGGTGAATCCACAAATGTTAGCAAAGCGGTGACAACAAAGTGTGGACGGAGCTTGAGCACCCATACCTACAGACTACGAATAAAATACCTGAACCTTAAAAGTGCTAAGGGAGAGAAGTATGCTAGAAGCCACCCACCGCCCGAACGTGACCTCGAGAAATGGAAAAGCTTGATTGACAAGAAGTGGAATGATACCAATTGGCTGGTAAAATTTCTTATGTTTATTTATTGTTGACAATTACCTTGTCTTCCTAATATATATATATATATATATATTTCTATTGGAACTTGCTCCTTGTAGAAGCAATCAAATGCTAACATTGATAATAGAAATCAATTGAAGGCGAAGCATAGGTGTGGGTCAAAATCTCTCCCAGTTAGGGTACACGAGGCGATGCGTCTTCTTTAATTTTTTTTCTGTTTTTTTTTTAAAGATGATTCTACTACCATCATTGTTATTTAACTTAAGATGATTCTACTACCATCATTGTTATTTAACTTACTAGTTGAACAAAAAAAATCAAACAATTGGAAATGGTGGCCAACTGCCAGAGTTGCCATGTGTTTACAAATCTACACACTTTAATGATGTCACAAAGCAGTGGATTTGTCCAGAGTGTGAAAAGAATTATGTATGTATATGCTAGGTTGTCACTCCTTTTGGCCTAGCCGTGTGGGATGTATATGGTCTCTAATTTTGTGTTTGCTGCTAGTTGTAGCCGTTTTGTGGGCTGATTTTGTTCAGATTTGGGTCGCTGTTTGGATGTGTTCATGGTCCTTATTCGAATTTATGCGGCTCATGAACATATTTTGGGGGGGTTATAATTTTCCCATGTTTTGATTTCCATTCTCCAGTTTAAGTCTTGTTTGTTCTGGTCCTGTTTATTTTGGTTTATTTGCTGATTGAGTGTTTTCGCCTATTTCTTTTGTTCTTGTATAGTTTTTCGTTAGGTCCTGGGGTATGCCCCTTGTAGCTGTGTAATCTCTGTTTTTTATTTATGTCTTATTCACCCAAAAAAAAATTATGTATGTATATTTACCTTTTGTTTTAGGATGATTGCAATTTAATTGTATCTTTATTCATTTTTCTTTTTTTTTTTTAAAATGACGTGATAATATGATAAAGATCCAAGCTGAACATTGCTCCCAACCTAGTGTGGTTCCAATTACTTGGGAGGAGCTATCTGTGAAGGTGCTGAAGCCAAGGTCGGGATATGTTAAAGCACTTGGGTTAAGGTGTTCCTTCTCTATCAGGACTACCAGTGCTTCGATTGACAGCGACTATGTGAGGTGTCTGGAGATGGAAGTACAAGAGCAAAAGGAGGAAATTCAGTCACATAAAGAGGAAATTACAACACAAAAACATGAAATTCAAGCACAAAAAGAGGAAATTCAAGCACAAAATAAAGAGATAGAGAAGATGAATGGGTCGATTGACGAGCATTTTGAGATCACATGAAGCATCATGGAGTTTCTTAAGAAGCAAGGTTTCAAAGGATAATTTAAAGGAGGAGGTATCCCATGAACTCGTACATCGCCTTTTTGGTAAGTCTCGCTCGTTTTATCATTTTATTTTTCTCATGTTGGTTAGTATATACTAGTTAAAGTACAACAGTTTGACTACTTATTAACTAAGATTTAACAAGTTTGAAGATGTATTTAATGAAAATAGATTCATTATCAAAATTCTTATTTAGCATGACCCTAGGTAAAATACACACTAACCAAAGTAGAGACAAAACTATGTGTTTACTTTTTTGTGTATTTTTGCTAAGCAGTGTTAGAGTTGCTCTAAGTTAGTGAAGTGATTAATAATGGGTGTGTCTCTGATTGAGTTTTTCATAGTAGAAGAAATGAAGGAACATTTATTGAGTCTCAGGCAGTGGGTTGGTCAGGTTTGTATATCACTTTATGATTGCTGCTGTTTTTTATTTGCTTTAATTATTCTTTTGGATTGTATTGCTTTTTTGAACACCATGAAACAACACTTGAACTCATTAAAAACATGTAACCAGATGTACTCTTTCTGTCTTCAATATCTCCGGCATAGTCGCTATCCGTAAACGCCAACAACTCACCATCTCCTCCTTTCTTATAATGAATTCCATAGTTCAGAGTCCCTTTTAAGTATCAAAGTTCTCTCTTAGCTGCCTGTGGATGAATTTCCATTGGTTTTGCCATATATCTACTTATGAGACAAGTAACAAACATCATGTCAAGTCTCGTGGCAGTGAGATACATTAAACTACCCACCGGCTGCTTGTAATATGTGTTATCAACTAAGTCTCCATTTCCGTCTCTACTTATTTTGAAACCTGGAACTATTGGACTGCCCGCCGAATTACTTTCCATCATACCAAACATTCTCAAAACCTCCAATGTGTATTTCCTTTGGTGTACAAAAATACCACCAGCCTTTTATAGCACCTCGATCCCAAGAAAAAACCTCATCTTCCCCAAGTCAGACATATCAAACTCGCTTAACATAGAGCTTTCAAATCCAGACATCATAACTTCATCATTACCAGTAAAAATTAAATCATCAACATAAACACTTACAATGATAATTTTTCCTTCTCTGCTTCTCTTTGTGAATAATGTCTGCTCACTATCGCACCTCCGAAACCCTTCACCAATGAAATGTGCTTCGATTCGACTAAACCAAGCTTGTGGAGCTTGTTTTAATCCATACAGGGCTTTGTGTAACTTGTAAACTAGATGTTCACTGCCCTTTTTTTTCATATCCTCTTGGTTGCTCCACATAAACATCTTCACTCAACTCGCTATGGAGAAAAGCCGACTAGACATCCAGCTGCAAAAATCGTCCAATTATTCTGTCCAGCTAGAGCAATAATCATCCTTATTATATCCATCCTTGCCACTGGTGCAAAAACTTATGTATAATCCACTCCATACTTTTGAGAGTACCCTTTAGCAAGGGAAAAAAAATCGACAAAAATTGGAAAAAGACAAGGCAGAAAGAAGACGGAAGATTGGATTGCCACCAGAAGATCCTGATGCTACAAAGCCTTCTACACCTGTTGTGAAGGAAAAGAAGAGCTCATTGCCAGTCAAGCCTCCCACAAAGGCAGAACAAATGAGAGAGTGTCTACGATCTCTCAAGCAGAACCATAAGGATGACAAGGCCAAAGTGAAGACGACATTTAATGCGCTTTTAACTTATGTGAAGAATGTTGTGAAAAATCCCAATGAGGACAAATTCCGTAAAATTAGACTCACTAATGCCACATTTCATGCTAGAGTTGGTGCACTGCAAGGTAGAATTGAGTTTCTTAAACTGTATAGCGATACCGATTTTTCCTCCATTGCTTATTGTATTCCGGACTTGGGATTCCGTCATGGTTGTTGTTGTCTTTATCTTGTTTCCGTCTTTTAAATTCTTTGTATTGGAGTTTTGGGATGTGTTGGGCAGGTTTGAAACAGGTTGGATGTGATTTGAAATAAATAGTTGCTACCCAGATTTTGGTTTCTTCGCTCGAGCGAGGCTTTTGTCGTTCGAGTGAGCTTTGGGTTTTAGTTCCTTCGCTCGAGCCAGGGTTCCTTTGCTCAAGCGAGATTTGAGTAGTGTGTCTCTTGGCTCGAGCGAGCACTCTTGCGCTCGAGTGTGCATCTGCGTCTCTTTTTGACCTGAAGGTTGTGTTTCTTCGCTCGAGCGAGATTTCCTTCGCTCGAGTGAGCGAGGACTATGTTTTGAGTTTCTTCGCTCAAGCGAACACTTTGCGCTCGAGCATTCTTCTAGATTGCAGACCTGAAGCTTCGCATTGTTCGCTCAAGCAACGCTTCTTGCGCTCGAGCGAGGTTCTGTTGTGTCTAGTCGCTTGAGCGACCACTACTTCGCTCGGGTGAGCCTTGAGTATATCAGGTCGCAGTAGCGTGTTTTTGCACACTTTTTCATTATCTTCTTCCTCCAAACCCCTAGATCCGACTCTCTCTCTCTGACTCCTTCTCTCTAAAAATACTCCATGCTTTAGGGCTTTTCTACCCTTCATCCCTTGCAAAAAAAGCTAGAGTTTGGTGTGGGCTTTCTTTTGATCCAAGAAAATACAAGTTTGGAGCATCTTGGGGTTTCTCTCATCTTTCCTTTTGAGCTTCTACTTGGAGGTAGGGATTTCTTGAGTTATATATATAGGTTATGTATTGTTGTTGTTGATTTAAAAGTTTCCTTGAAAGATTAGTGTTGATTTTGATTTTGTGACCTAAAATGGGGAGTTTTCAAAGTGGGTTTAATCCCAAACCATTTTACTAAATACTAGTGGGCTTTTTTAGTTATTGAACTCAAGAGGATGATTTATTGGGATTTCTTTATTGGGATAGGAAATGTTTGGTTTTTGGTGAAAACCCTAGAAATTTAGGGATTTTTGGAGAATCTGGAAGATGTTCATAAAATTCTTTTCTATCTTTGAATAGAAGTTGATTGAGTATAAATTCCATAATGTGTTTGCAAGAATGGTAAACTTTTATATATATATATATATATATTGAGATGGAGGAATTGCTTTGAAAATTTCATATGTAGCCCTTGATGAGACTATGTTGCTATGATTTGTGAAATGAGGGAATTGTGGTATGAATGGATGGTTTATGGTTGACTTGTGAAGGACAATGAAGGAAAGAAATGGGAAATTGTGAATGTGGCATTATTGTAGAGATTTTGAACATGAAGAAATGTTATGAATTATGGGAATTATTGCAGTGCATATTATTTCATTTATTATTGGGCATTGTGGTTCTAAATCGAAGGAATTTACATTCATGACAGAAAATGATTTTGTAATGAGAACTATGGTAATGTGAATGGGGTAAATACGTGGTAAGTCCGGATAGGGGGTGTAGATGAACTTTGTTAAGCTGGCCTGAGAGTCCTTGGTGAAAGACTAGAAAATCGCGCGGATAGGTGTTGAGCCTTCCGGTTAATACCGGTAAAAATGGCAGTTTGGTAATGCTCGTAAAGACTACTTGCAGACACCAGCCTAGAGATTACCAGTGTCGTATTTACCACCCTTGTTGATTTAAATATTGGAAGTTTGAAATTATTGAGATTGCTAAATATTATCGAGAACATGGTGAATTTAAATTGTGCATTGAATATTATTGAGAACATGATGACTTTGAACTAGTGCATCAAAATAAGATTTTCCTTCATTATTGGCACTTGAATGGCATTACATATGCATTTTTAACGTTGATGGAATTGGCATAACTGTATATACTTTGTGAGGAATCTCTACTGGGCTTTATGCTCACCCGTATGGGAATTGGTGCAGGTATAAGATGTGGCGACCCCGCCAAGCTAAGGGCGTGGAGATGTTTTGAAGAAGACTAGTTTGACTCTTAATTTGTTGTGATATTTGTTGTAAGCCAAGGGCAAATGTGTTTGGGTCCGAGAAACCATTATGTGTAATCGGGCTGTTGCCTTGGAACATGTAAGCCCTTGAGGGCCTTATTTGTTGTGATTCAATGATTTCTTTTACATGCTCTAGATTCACGTACTAGTTTGTAAATAAATGTATACTGGCTTGTGAGAATACTTTGGTAAACCTTTGGAACTCTGTGAATGAATTTGATTAATGCCTCATCTTGAAGTGGGTGATGTAATAGTTACATGGGATTATTTTCGGGGCGCGACAAGCTATGTGGGTTTGAGAAAATTGAAGGAGGTGAGTTCTTGTTTCTACCTAGAGACAAAGTCGATAAAGCAGTGCTGAACTTAGATGGGACCGAGTTGAATAATGCAATAAGTAATCCTTTCTTTGGGGTTCTCTAATCCCAACGTTTTGTTGAAAATGCATACACTGTAAACATGAGGTTTGTTTTTCATATTTCATATAAGTTTGAGTTGAAATGCATCCATCATTGTCAACTTTTTTTGTAATGACTAGGATTGTGGGGTTTGTTTTATTTTATACATGGATGCAAATTGGCATAAATAAGAAGGCATTGAGGGGCTTCAATGGTACAACCCAAAAGTCTTACAAGGTTCTTGTGTCGTCTTACAAGGTTCTTGTGTTGAATTCCATTGATCAAATTTACCTCATTGAAGAAGTCATCGGCCCATTGTCGTGAATCAAATGTACCTCAATGCTACGTTATATTTTGGAGCTATTATATATATTCTGCCATTAGTGATAGTGATATATGGTATTCTTGCGATCTTTTGGCATCTTATGTTATCTGTGTTGCTTTATCATCAAGGATCACCTCAACTCTTTGAAGTTTTGAATTGTTATATGCATTTCTACTAAATTGGTTTATAAAATAAAATTATTTATATATGAGTTTAGATGTAATTGATAATATATTAATGTTTTCCTTATTTATTTTCTTTGCAAATTGGTTTTGATGATGCTCGGAAGCATACTTGCAAATGAAGATCAACTGTTGAATTTTTTTTCCTAAACTGATGTTTAGTTGTAGTTGCAAATCAAGATTGAGTGTTGATTTTTTTTGTGGACTCCATGTTAGTTCATTTTGGGATTTGCTTTGATGGTTTTTTTTGTTATACCTGATGGATTATTATTAAACTTGTTTGATGGATATATTTTGATTTATAATATAAATTGTTTAGTGAATTTTTTTGTGGAGTGATGTATAATAGCTAGTGGATTTGTTAGTACAATTAAAAGGCTATTGGGATATGAGCAGGGATATTTGTGAAATAATAATTTAAATTAAATATAAAATATGGAACAAGTTTAGTGACGAATTTGTTTTGTCATTTGTACTTGTTATTATGACAAAGTGATTATTCGTCGCTAATAAACTTTTTTTTGTGACAAAATTTACTGCAGCTTATATATGAAAGTTTTCATTTATTTTGTTGTTTAGTGACTAAAAATTTCGTCACGTATATATATATATATATATATTTGCGACGAAATATATTTCGTCACCCATGTATGACTTTTGAAGACGAAAAATTTCGTCACCTTTACATCTTACCGTGATGAAATTATTTCCTCATTAATGATCAACACGTGTGACAAATTTATTCGTCAAGTAAAGTTATAAATATGGTACTAAATAACTATACGGTGACGAAAATGAGAATTTTTGGCGACAAAATGTTGTTTTATTGTTGACAAAAAATTTCGTCACTGAAGTAATTTCATTGGTGACGAAATTATTTTTCGTCACGGTGGTTTCTAGTGACAAACATTCAATGACGAAACTGGTGACAAAAATATTTCCTCACAAATATCTATAGTGACGAAATTAGCTCTTTGGAGACAAAAATATTTTGTCATTCAAGACCCAACTTGTTGTAGTGTTATAAAGGAATAAAAGCTAATCAATAAAATATTTTTTAAGTGTTTAAAAACTTATGGAAGATGTGAATTGAATCCTATATTTTAGTGGTACAAAAATCTAAATTTTAAAACTGATCATTTTCAAATTTTAAAATTTTAATTTTAAATGTATTAATTAACTTTCTTTTTGAAATGTAAGAAGATTTTTTTTAAAAAAAATTTAAAACTCATTCGTTAACTTTCTTTTTTAAATTTCTGAATGGAATAATTAACTTTCTTTTTGAAATGTGTAAATTGAGGTGTAATAAGATATTTTTAATAATTCAATAAGAGTTTTAAGAAATAAGAATTTTAGAAAAATAATATGAGAGTTTGAGTTTCATAAGGCTCTTCTCATTAGAAATTTCCTTTTCCTTAAGATATAGTATAAATATTATATTTTATTAGTATTATAAGTAATCAAACCATAAAAGATGCCTAGAAAATTCAATTATTTTAAATCGGTGCAACTTGTATCAAAATAACAAAATCTATATTCATATTTTGTGTCAAATAATTGTAAAATATGTATATTAAAAAAACATAATGTATCGAATAATATTTTAGATATCAACAAAATCAAAACATAAGCTTAACAAATATATCTCGAAGCAAAATTTTAGAACAAGAATTTTACATTAAGTGATATTTTTTTCAATTTTAAGTAACTATGGACGCTTGTTACGTTATTATTAACAATTACAAGGCAGAAAATTGTGATTTAAGAAAAGAAATAAATAAATAAACCTCCTAATGTGGAAAGGCAAAACATAGAAATAACCATTAAATTAAAAGATGTGATTTTCTAAAGAAAGTATTCTATGGGACAATTTGGCAAGCTAATTAAAAGTCAATTTTTAACTTTTAACTCATTTAGGGTCACATCATCTCTCACATTGTTTACACACACAAAAAGATAAAAATAAAATAAAAAGGAAAGTCAAAAAATTAACTTTTACCCAACTTTTCAAATCACTCCTTCGTAAAATTCATTTATTATTTGGCAAATCACCATTAATGTCAATAATACTGCTCTAGTTTTTTACATTAATGACATCAAAATTCAGTGGGCAAATGCATGCCTACTTCTTTCAAAAGTTGTAGTGTATAAGTAGTTTTGTATAAACACAAAACTGGTTTTTTCTTTTTTTTATTATTATTTTTTTTAATCGGCAAATAAATCTTTATTGATGAAAATATACAAAATATGATAAGATACATCAATAAAGAAGAGTTTGAAGCTAACACAAAACTGGTTTTGAAATGACTGAAAATTTGAAAAAGAGAAAAAATAATATCTCAATTTTTTTATTTTTTATTTTTCAAATCTCTTTGTCTTTCTCTCCCTCTCTTGCCCTAAATCTGTTCATGACACTTGGTGTCATTTTGTTCATCTTCACCATTGACTCAAGAGCGTGGCATCTTGTTCATATTTAGCTTGTTTCATCGTTTTCCTTCTGTTATATACCTGCAGTTGTTTAGCTCTTGCAGAGTTTCTTCATTATCAAGTACGGTATTTTTTGTGTCTCCACAATCTATATTCAGTTTAATAATTTTAAATTAACAAAATTAAAAATTATGAATTGGATCATGCTCAAGGAATTTTCTTTTCTCTAAAAAATAATAGAATAAATATATATAGAATAATATGTCAAATTTATATTCATTTATTTCAAACTAATTGACCTATAAAGATGATTCATTGTTTCAAAACTACCATTGAAATATTATTCTTGTGAAATTTTTTATACAAAAATTGTGTATACAAATCATTTTTCAATTGGAAGGCTTAACCTTTTTGTAAGTTGAAGTGATTTCCACAGTGAACGACTGTCAATTTATTTTGTAAAATTTTGATTTTTCAAAAGGTGATGTGCAAAAATCTAAACATGCCAACTGAGACTTTAATCAGCCAAGGAGGCCATTTAAAACGGGATGATTGATCCCTTATCCTTACAATACAAGCATATAGTAACTTTTGACTAGTTAAAAGATACTACTTAACCATTAAGCACTCAACTTCTCTTTTTAAATTCCGACTCAAATTATATTCAAAACACAACATTAATATTTGGCTATTGTCGCTAATTGTTTTCAATAATTTTGACTAAACAAACTTTGTTTTTAAGATAAAATGTTCTCTCTTTTTTTCAAAATAAATCTATAATGCAACTTGTGTTTAATCTGACAAAAGTCACTATATGTCATCCAATAGGGCTGGACTAGTGGTTTAAGAGAAACTACATGCCTTAAACATGGCCCAACAATAGTTTTGAATGCTCCGTTTGTTTCTTTCCACAGTGAACGACTTTCAATTTATTTTGTAAAATTTTGATTTTTCAAAAGGTGATGTGCAAAAATCTAAACATGCCAACTGAGACTTTAATCAGCCCAGGAGGCCATTTAAAACGGGATGATTGATCCCTTATCCTTACAATACAAGCATATAGTAACTTTTGACTAGTTAAAAGATACTAATTAACCATTAAGCACTCAACTTCTCTTTTTAAATTCTTACTCAAATTATATTCAAAACACAGCATTAATATTTGGCTATTGTCGCTGATTGTTTTCAATAATTTTGACTAAACAAACTTTGTTTTTAAGATAAAATTTTCTCTTTTTTTTTTTCGAAATAAATCTATAATGCAACTTGTGTTTAATCTGACAAAAGTCACTATATGTCATCCAATAGGGCTGGACCAGTGGTTTAAGAGAAACAACATGCCTTAAACTTGGCCCAACAATAGTTTTGAATGCTCCGTTTGTTTCTTTTACATAAAATAAAAATAAAAAATCTTGTAATTTGATTTTACACAAATATATATATATATATATATATGTTTTTTGTTTTTGTTTTTGTTTTTCGGCATTTGGTTGACACAACAAAGATATTTTGTTGCTAAAAAGACAAATTTTGATTCAATAAAGTGTCATTTATGAACTTTTTAGTGAGTTACGATACTTATTTTAAGGCTAATGTGTTGAAAAATTAGCGAGTGAGAGTAAACTTTGCAAAAACTGACTTGCGAAATTTCTAAAGGTTTCATTTTTGGAAAAATGATGCAAAAATATATTTTTTTAAAAAATATTTTACTTACTTTTTGTTCAACTAAACAACAGAAAAGGAGTAAAATATTTTTGACAAAAACATTTTACGTCAAAACAAATGGAGCCTAAAACTATGTTTAGAACATGAATTTAGATAAAAAATTGGAAAGCGTAAAAAATGTGAGAAAATTGTGAATGAAATTATAAACTAAGTTTTTATTTCATTTCCCGTACCTTTTTTCTTTTCTATTTCTTTTCAAATTCATATCTAAATACACCCTCAAATGTTTTCGACTATCATCGTATTCTTCTCATTGTAAATTCATACATTTTTATACAATTAATTATAATTATAAAAATAAAAATAAAAAGTCTTACTAATAAGTATCCTTAGTATACAAGAAAACGACAAAGATATGTAAACCTGGAGACACTTATCACTAAATTTAAAATATATATATATATTTTTTATAAATTTCATAATATTTTTATATTTTTCAAGAAACTTTTAACCAAGGCACTTGTTTTGCATACGCATAACTTTCATCCTCTTGTGCCTCCCTCCAAAAGGAGGCATTTGTATGGCTTTGGGGGGAAAATGTACACTACAACAAAATGTATCTTGGGCGATCAAAATTGGCGACTAAAAAAAATTTAGTCGCCAAAAGTTATGGAATTGGCGACTAAAATTTTTTTTGTCGGCAAAAGTATAATATTTAGATATTAATTTTTTTTGGTTGGGTTATATTGATTATTGGCAACAAAAAAAAATTAGTCGCTAAAAATACCAGAATTGGCGACAAAAAAATTATTTTAGTCGCCGTATATTGAGTTTTTGCTACTAAAACCATTTAGTCGCCGAATGTAAAATAATAAATTATTTTTTATCTTTGGCGACCAAAAATTTGGTAGCCAAAAATAAATTTTTAGCGACTAAAATTATTTTTTGTCGCTAAATAGTTAGTTTTGGCTACTAAAATTATTTAGTCGCCGAATGAAAAATAAAAAATTACTTTTTATCTTTGGCGACTAAAAATTTGGTCTCCAAAAATTTATTTTTAGCAACTTAAATTATTTTGGTTGCCAAAGAACTAAAATATTTAGAGGGAAATATTTCAAATTTCGGAGAGATTTATGAAATTAATTAACATTTGCCAACAAAAAAACCAATTTGGTCGCCAAAGGTGTGAAATTTTTAGACAAAATAGATGGTTCTCTGTTTAGACAAAACAGATTGTCTGTCTGTCTCTCTCTCTCTCTCTCTAACCCAAACAAACCAAACAAAAATGGAGAGATCAGAAGGAGAAGAGTATTTGTTCAAGATAGTGGTGATTGGGGACTCAATGGTGGGAAAATCGAACTTGCTCTCGCGATTTGTGAGAGATGAGTTTGGTTTGCACTCAAAAGCCACAGTGGGAGTAGAGTTTCTGACCCAGGTGATGGAGCATGATAGCAAAGAGATCAAAGCCCAGGTCTGGGACACCACCAGCCAAGAGTGCTTCCGCGCCGTCACCTCTGCCTACTACAAAGGCGCTGTTGATGCTCTTGTCGTCTACGATATCAATGGTCGGACTACTTTCGATAGCATCAAGCGGTGGCTCGATGAACTTAAGAGTAAGTCGATTATATTTTAATCAATCTATTTATTAATTGTTCTGTTTTGTGGATTTGGTTGCTTGTTATTGAAGTTGTTACTGTGAATCTGAACTTGTGTTTGAATAACCATTTTTGGTGTTTTAATGATTTTGAAATTGAAACCCCAAGTAGTGAATTTTTTCTGGATTTTGGTCAATTATGAAGATTAGTAATGCGGGTATTGCTTGATTTTGCTTTGTTTTGTGCTGGAATTTTTTAGACCATGATTGGATGCTTTGAATTAGAAATTAGTCGATTATATTCAATTCTTTACTTGGACAACATTTTTCTAGTATTAAATAAAAGTCGGCATATACTTATAATAGTCCCCTACCTTCTCCTTAAGCTTATGATTAAGGGATATTGCTTATCATATTCATCTTGTTGTTTTTGACTTGATAGTTGATAGGTAACACACCACTCATGTACCTCAACAACATTGTGGATGGTTGTGTCGCTCATATTGCTGCCAAGCTAGAGATGATGAAGCCCTGCTCAAGCGTCAATGACAGGTATAGAGTATATACCTTTTGCTCTTGAGCTAGATGATTTCTGTGCTATTTTGCTTCACAGTATCTCAATGTTGATCATAATTTTTAGATTACATGTGTATTATGGGTGCTCTGCTAATAGATTTTGATACATTAAATCATTCCTGGTATTTAGGATTGGGTACGGTATGATCCAAGATGCAGAGGAGTAGGCATACACTTATATATAGTAGAGTACCTACATTTATAAAAGTAGGCTTACACTTATATGTAGTAGAGTGCCAACATTTTTCTGTATATATAGTCCCCTACCTTCTTTTTTTTTTTTTTTTTTTTGGCTTATATTCTATACTGTCTACATTATGTAGGAGGAACTTATATAAAGGGGAAAATTTTGATAAGGCATATCCGACTGAAAATAGCCGATCACATTGGTAACTAGTGCAAATAATTGGGTGAAGGATTGTCCTTTGCATTACTCTATTCAGAGCACAAAAAACTTAACACCTGTTTTTCTTCTCGTTTCCTTCTCCTTCTTTTTTTTCTCTTTTCCTGTTGGTAAATTGGTTTCTACAGTGTGAAAATGTAAGAGGAATCTAAAGAATCCATATTAATAGTCATTTTGTGTAAAATAATGATTACAATAATTAGTTTGCAAACAAATTAATGTGTAAGAGGAATTTAAAGAATCAATATTAATAGCCATGGGAGAGAGTTTTCAAATACAAATTAATGTGTACCTTTAAAACAAGTTCAAAGTAACCGAGATCTGAATCTAAAGTAATTGGGGTATGTCGTCCGATAACTGCTTCACCTTCACTGTCGTTTCCTCTGCCCAACATAAAAATAGACATATTAGTAAAAATAGTGCTATAAATATGAGTAGTTCCGAAGAAAAACTAGTTGCCATATAAGCATAGTGGTCTTTGGCTTCATGAAGCAATTTGTATTGGGAATAATAACTCAGCAACTGCATCATGAGTGATTTGAACCTAAAAATATATATATATATATATATATCGAATAGAATTACTGAACATTAAAATATAGAAAAGGCAGTTAAAACATGAACCTGCATCTTATGTGGTGCCCAACAAGAAGACCCAAGACTGAGGTCAGCGTTGGAAGGGAAAATCTGAACCTTGCAACATTATGGGTAACTTTTGTCCTTTTAACAAGTTTGAACTCCACAAATTTCTCAAGATCTAAGCACCCTATTAACACATTATTACAATAATCAATTTGCAAACAAACAAGACTTAATCACCACTAGCCACATGATGACTAAAATATGAATTGAATCAAATTATTCAGCTGTTAGATGTATACACCCAAAATAATTCTAATGATCATTAGGATATAACATCATCGACTATTAATTAAATTATAATGATCGTAATGGCCATCTACTATTTGCAGTCCTCCTTAAAATGATTGGAACCAGTTGCAAAGAAGGTAAGACACCAAAGACAAAATTCAATGTTCAATGTTCAATTTCATTTTACACAAGTCGTGACCCCTTAAAAAAAAGAAAAAGAAAAAAGAAGGAAGATCAATTGAGTTTGGTATCGACAAGTGTGAGGGGATAAAGACATTGACCCCAAATTCCTGTCTATAATGAAAACCTGTCTATAATTTTTTTTTGTTGATAATGGCTTATTATTTATTTTGCGTGTAGGTGGTTTATTGGCTATAGGTAGCAACTTGGCCTCGGCATACTTACAGCAAAATAATTTCAAATCCTTGGAAAAGCTTTATTATGCAGTGGGTTATTTATTGTGATGTGCAAAGAGTATTTGTTCTGTATATGGAAGACATTTATTGTCATGACCCCTATGGGTTAAGGACATAACCGGCCAGTAATCCTAAGATTACCTACGGCCTCAAACCAAAACAGACATAACTCATCAGAGTAAAAGGGCCAAACGGAAGCAAAGTTTAAAACTTTGTCCATACACTACAAGAAATTGTATTTTTCGCAACGCAACAAAATATGTTGCTAAAAGGAAAAATTCGTTGGCAAAGAGTTTTTCCAACACACAAAGCTACGTTGGCAACCCGTAGGCAAAAGTGAGTTGGCAAAAGTTTTTGCCGACGAAATTATCATTGCGTTGGTAAAAGTAATGCCTTTAGCAACGAACATAGTCGTTGATAAAAGCCTTCATCCATCGTCGGCAATTTACCTTGCGTTGGTAAAAGTCATTCAAATATGATGATTGTGTGGCACTTTTCGCGACGCAAATTTGCATGGGCAAAAAATATTCTTTTAGCAACAACATATGCGTCGGCAAAAGTAAACTTTTGGCAACACATTTATGTCGGTAAATGTTGCCATTTGCCGAAGTTTTGTTTGTCGCTAAAGCTTTACTTTTGGCAACGACAAATTGGCATTGGCAAAAAATACACTTCTACCAACACAATATGAGTGGGCAAAAGTAACTTTTAGCGACACATTTACGTCGATAAATGTTGCCATTTGCCAACGATTTGGTTGTCGATAAAGCTTAAGTTTTGGCAACGACAAATTGGCATTGGCAAAAAATACACTTCTACCAACACAATATGAGTGGGGAAAAGTAACTTTTAGCGACACATTTACGTCGGTAAATGTTGCCATTTGCCCTCAAATTAATTAAATGTGGAAATCTATATAATTTTCAAGTGTGCCTTATGAGAGCATAGTAGTTATTTATGTGCAACAGTAGATTCTTCCAAGCGATTTTGGGTAGCAACACTTTCAAGTAAATAACTTGTCACAAATTCATGGTTTATTTACTTTGTAATTCATTTTCACCATATCAGAGAGTGTGGTTGAAGAATGATGTGGCAAATATCAGTTACAGGAGTGACAATGCCTTAGTTCAATTCTAGCAAATCTCATGACCTCAGTAAGCAATCTAAGCACTATCAAGTAGAGTAGTATTTGGTTGAGACTATCTTATCTCCTATTAAATTTAAAACTACTGATCCAAAGTCTGTTTTAAAAGAGAGCCTTAGTTTTTACCTGATCCAAATTCTGTACTGCCTCTGAAGAATTAGCAGACTTAGGCAAAGCAGCCTTCACTAGCTCAAAATAGTAAACCTTCTGGTTAATTTTTTTAGATGCATCTTTGCTGGGTTCTTCATCCTCATCAATGTAAGCTACATGAAGAGATGGATACCTGTGACAAGGAAATATGACAATGGTAAATTATGACAATCACCAAATCCACAAAAGACTATACCGGAACACATATGTTGTCATAAGCCTTAGAATGTCTTGTGCACGAGGATTTCCAGATCGTTTGTCAATCCCATATTGCTGACATGAGACCACGTATGTAAACTTCATATCGGCCACTGCTTGACATTGTGCCCACAATGACCTTTCTCCTTTAATCTAATCCTCCATATTTAATTCAACAGCCTTGTAGCCTTCCATTAAATCTGATCATGGGTAGTCATCAAGTAACAAAAGTGCATTCAGAGTATCTTGATGTATAACAATTTTTTCATTCAAATAAAAAGAATACTAGCATTTTTATTAACACCAAAGCGAAGAGCTGCATAACATCAATGATCCCAAATTCTCCAAATGGACGAGCAAGTACCTTCATCCTTGGCCATATAAAGGAAGGCCTGAAGTTCCAAAGCTTTTCGGTAATACATCATGCCTCTTACTGGCATTTGTAATAACGTGTCAGTACAATGAAAAATGAAACTAAATCACTGTGAACACTACATAAATCCCATTAACGAGTCACATAAAACAACTGCCATGATATTGCAAATACATACCAAGTACTTGATAAGCTTGACAAAGTGGTCATAGAGGCTATGAAGACCACCCATATTGTATTTAGTTAATAGCTTGCCTTCTTCTCAGCACAAAGCACAACTATCTTCATCCTTACACATTCAAATATTGCAAAGGTTGTCCATAATAACCCAAAACAACACCAGCCCATCACCAATATGGGCATCCTTCTATAAACATCTTTACACTTCCTGCAAATGGAGAAACTATTATACTCTGTACCTTCATTCTTAAAGTGTAGCTAACACATCTGGAACCAAAAAAAAAAAAAAAGAAGCAATTTTGGATATATATATATCCTTATATAATATATATTGGGGGACATATTGTTAATTCTCATTTTAAATCACTAACAGAAGTAACATAACTCATTGGACTCTCCCACAGATTGGAACCAATTTAAGTACCCTTATTCAGGTGTGCAACTAAAAGTGTCCATATTCAGGTGTTCAACTAAACTGAATCATGTATTCTTCTCACGCGCAGAGGAATCACATGACCAACATTGGATTTCAGTGGAATGAACTCCAGGATGTAAAAAAGACACAATTATGTAAAATTCTGCAGCAGCAGCCCAGCAAAATTCTGCAGCAGCACACCGGCAGCAGCAGCAGCAGACCAGCAGCAGCAGACCAGCAGAATTAAAGATGAAGAACATCTAAGCAACAAGGCAATCACTATTGTAGTGTGTTACCGATTGGAAGCAGTAAAGATGAAACCATATTTTCTTTCTTTTGGTAACAAAAATTGAATTTCAACGCAATCACTATTATTGTAGTTAAACAATAAATCTATTCAAATTTGTAAATCTACACTTACAAGGATAAATACTCTTCAAAATGGGCCTGAACAATAACACGGGCATGACTCTCTCTTCCACCCTCATAGGACTTAACAAGGCTCATCAAAGGTTCAACAAGCCTCTCTTGGGCTCCCTTTTCATTAGCAGGGCAGGAGTTCAGATGGGCCTGCAATGAAAAAGTAAATGCCACAAAAGTTAATGACCATTCGAACAAGAAGAACAGTTTTTGCAAATGCGGAATTTGAAAGAATGAACCAACCTCAAGAACACGCCGTAATACTTTGGCAGGGAAGTCAACATTTTGAAAGCTTGCGCTACCTTCGTACATTTTATATTTTGATTCCAGCTGGACAAAAACATAATGAAAAATTAGTTAATAGTACAAGTATAAAGCTACTATTTGTGTAAAACAAAAAAATAAAGCACCAATTTGTTTACCTCATATCTAAGGTCTTTAGGAAGTCGGGTTGCAAGAACAGACAAGCACTCTTCCCATTGAAGGAATGGGAGCTCAGGATTGTCAAGACAACTGAGCAAGTTTTGCACAACCTGGAAAAGATTTGAAACTCTATGATAACAATTAATTAATTCCACCAAATGTCGTCGAACATGAT